CACTTACCCAAGAAGTCAGCACTGAGGTAAGAGGCACTGACGTCGGGAGAAAGACTTGCCTAAGTGCAGAGATGTCTCTGAGGTAAGCGGGACTGAGGTCAGGACTTGGTTCATCTGACATCAATCTTAATCGAACCGCACTCACTCCCAAAAAGTAGAGATGGCTCCTCCTTCCCCCACCCTATTTCATTTTCGTGGGGGAATATTTCCTCGGGACACGGGGACCACAAACTTTATCTTTCAGAGAGGCATATTTTGTAGAAGGTGGGATTTTCTAAGAGGAAGGAAAACTAGTTTAAGTAGCCACACTCTTGAATAATTTGTTTTACCCTATTCGTTTAAGATGGCACTTAAATAATAAAACACAACAAAAAATGAGATCGATAAAAATATTATCACCGCTAAAATATGTATTTAGATATATTTATTTAAGCATTATTATTTTTTTATAAAAAAAAATAGTTTTAAATTTGTTTTAATTTTTTTCAGTTTTAACTGTTTTTAAAATGTTTCAGTCTCAATTTTTTTTAAAAATTTCCTACTTTATTTTCAATTCTTTTCTAACTTTTTTACTCCTTTACTTTCAATTTTTGTATCTGCTAATTTATATTTTTTGTATAATTTCAACTTTCATTATTTTTTTTGCATCATTAGCTTTAATTTTGAATTTTAGTGCGATCCATTTTTTTTTTCAAAGAAACGTAACTTACAAAACTTCATTTACATGTTGATTGATTAAAAAAGAATAATAGAAAAATTAAGTATCGGATTCACATTCAAAGACAAAATCATCATTTGCTGGCAAAATTACCCCAATGGGGGCCCTGAAATGGTAAAATTACGCCCCTAAAACGTACACGCGCAGGTAGTGTAGTGGTTCAATCGCTAGAACGATCACCGAAGTTAAGTTACGTCGGGCGTAGTTAGTACTTAGATTGGAGACCGCATGGGAACGAGCGATGTCCCCTGAAGATTGTGATACTTGCTTGGGATTGAAAACTAACAGCAGCCCTCCCTGATCGTCAAATGGTGACTTAACGTACCTGGCAAATCGGTAATTAACGAAATTTTTGCCTGTACAGTATTTCTGGGAGTTTCCACTCCGCTTACGTCTGAGACACTTAGGTCAGTGCCACTTACATCAGAGGCACTTGCCTTTGGAACAGACCTAACACTGAGGTAGCAGATCAGCGCCCGGCAGCACTGACATCAGTGCTTAGGTCTGTTCCAAAGGCAAGTGCTACTGATCTGAGCACTTGCCATTTTTACCAGGGAAATAATTCAAAAATGTGCAACACTGCAGGTTTTCATGAAATAAATTTTATACCTGTATTTTCTAAGCTAAGACCGCGGAGCACACTACAGGGTGAGCGAAAAGTCCCCGACCCCCCTCTAACTTTTGAACGAATTGAGCTAGGGAAATGAAACTTTGAGAATGTTCCTATCTCAAAGGGGACCATCTTTTGAGGGGGTCAAAATTTTCCAATTTTTTGGAACCCAACTTTTTTTTTCAAATAGCAACCCCTATCTTGTGATACTTCATTCGAAAGAGCATAAAAAACTAAGAATTTTGGCGCAAACCGCAGATCAATAACTCAATTTTTGACCGAGTTATGATAGGTCAAAGGTCAAATTTGACCTATTTTCAAAAAAGCATAACTCCGGTTCAAATTATCCGGTTATTGATCTGCGGTTTGCGCCAAAATTCTTAGTTTTTTATGCTCTTTCGAATGAGGTATCACAAGTTAGGGGTTGCTATTTGAAAAAAAAAGTTGGGGGCCCCTGTCCCCCCCCTGAGGGGGGGACCAAAATTTTGACCCCCTCAAAAGATGGTCCCCTTTGAGATAGGAACATTCCCAAATTTTCATTTCCCTAGCTCAATTCGTTCAAAAGTTAGAGGGGGGGCCGGGGACTTTTCGCTCACCCTGTATGTAACGAAATTGGCAGCAGAGATCGGACATGGGACATGGGCACTAATTTTGTATCCGGCCGGAATGGGCATGAAATGTTCCTAAGGGTTCATACTTTACGAATCTAGCATGTATTTTCAATTTTTTTCCTCCAATTTTTATCCTAGATCTCCTCGAATGTGGCAGATTCCGCTGTTCCTGAAATTGTCACACTTGCTTCGTCAAAATCTTTTCGACCCATGTATTCAGGCTCGGACTGGCCATAAGGCTAATCTGGCATTGGCAGATACGCCCCCTTGGCGCCCCTCTGACAGATAGCAAAATAAGAAGAGAAAAAAAAATTACGACCGAGAATATATGCGGAAAATTTCTTAAAATGAACGGAAGAAGAGAGAGTTAGGAGTTAAGAGAGGTGCTTTTACGCATAGAGGTGAACAGAGGTCCAAGAACTACTTTCTGAAGCGTACAAACTTTTCTGTGAAATTGTCACCTTTTTGTTGACACACAGGCGCTTTATCATCCCCCTCCTTCACTCTCTATGTGTAACTACCGTAGAAGCGATAGCCGGTTCGATTTTTAGACGTACGCACACTTTATAGACCTCTTGAGAGACCTTTAAACATATTTCTTCCTTTTCAAAATGACTATTGATTTGGACATACCATAGCATATCTCGGACAAACTTAACCTTAATTTACTTCGAAATTCAAAATTAAGTAGAGACATATAAAGTGTAAACGCGATACAACTATTCTCGCAAGATGGGTGTCGACATTGCATATGAATAATGCAAGATGCGATGGCGTGAGTCGTGAACTCGCAATGCACTGCTCTAGTTTAAAGCAACATTACAAATAAGACAAACGGAAACAAACACAACATGGAAATAAAGCGAGGGAAAGGATGCGCGTTAATGACGGCGCAGAGATACAACTATTCGTACTTGATGGACATCCGTGCTGCATCTGAAAAATTGAAGGCGCGATGACGAGAAGCGTGAGTTCTCAATGCTCTGCAATATGCTGCCAATGAGGTGTCGCTCAGATTTGGGAGGAAAGTTAAAAAAGAGGCCCGAATACATCTCTCCTACTTTCGGCTGTGTTATTCACGTAGTGCTTGAAGCACCATTACGAATAAGACAAACGGAAACAAACACAATATGGAAATAAAGCGAGGGAAAGGATGCGCGTTAACGACTGCGCAGAGATACAACTATTCGTACTTGATGGACGTCCTTGCTGCATCTGAAAAATTGAAGGCGCGATGACAAGCGTGAGTTCTCAATGCCCTGCAATATGCTGCCAATGAAGTGTCGTTCAGATTCGGGAGAAAAGTTTAAACCGCAGCACTGACACGGTTCTTATGGAAATAATGGTGCTTGGTTGCGTCTACTGGCTTTAATTTTTTTTGTTTTCTTTAATTTCAGAAGTCTGCCGGTCACTTCAATGCGTTCAATTTTACAATTTTTCCTCTGTACAATTAATAAACTTAGAACCTGAAATAGCGTAAACTTGTGCTGCTTCGCCAAAATTTTCTTGCCTCATCAGGAAATATCACATTACGCTCCTTTAACCAGCCAAGGGTATACGCCCTCAGATGCGAGCCAGTCCGACCCTGCTTGTATTTTATTGTGAGATTTTTGCATGTAAATTTTAATGCCTGAAACTTATTTTTTAGACTCTGAGGAACATTTGCACTGGTAATAATTGAAATTATATCAAATCTGAAGGCTGCCACGTAACTCTAAAGTTATACCTATTTCAAAAAGATGAAAATTGAACTTTAAGCAAGCTTTAAAAAAATTCGCCGCATTTCGCCGAAAAAGTTAGCATATGGCGTGCTCAAGTAATTCTTCGAGAATGATAATCAGCCATATTTGGCTGCAGATAGGCGTAGGTCGTGAAATTCTTTGATTTTCACTCTAAAATAAGTCTCAGTGCGGGATAAGTAGGTAATGTGCTTCAAAATTGCCTTATTTGTGTAAGCAGGAATTTGTACGTCAAGCAAGTAATTCATGGATGAATAAATGTAAGGGATGAATTAGAACAAATAAATAAAATTGATTAGCGTAAGGGCAGCTTGGTTAGGATTGCAATGATTTAGCCAAAGTCGCTTTTTTTCGTCATTCGTTTCCCCTCCTACCAACGGTTACGCTCTCTTATTCCACGTGCGTTATTTTAAACTTCCCGCCGATCGGATTTTCGATGCAATTGGCGTTGCCGTGCATCTGTAACCTAACCTAACCAAACTTATCAGCACGAGTCTGTTTACAAAATTCGGAAATAAACTTTTCAGCCGGTATAAATCTATTGCCTTGGCTTTCTCACGCTGATTTACTCTTTTTTTCACCAGTTTATCGAAAATGAAGAGTGCCTTTGTCGTCCCTAGTATCCGTCAGTGAAAAATGCTGTACTCCTGTGCCCTAATTTGTTTCATACTCCTGATGTCAATGCAACTGACTCTGCTCGCTATACTCAACTCAATCGACTTTGTTTTAAGCGAACTATCACATTGACTTGCCTAAATAACATGTTAAACGTATGATCAAACTCATCACCAACCAATTTAAGTAATTTACTACCTGTCAGAGGGCTTAATCTCATGAAACCGAATTAACCTTACGAAAGTTGAAACTTACTATTTGCGACAATGTCGAGGAAGAAATCAGATGTGCCTGTGGAAGAAAGCGATGTACTCTCTATCAGGCCTTTGTAAGTACCTTAAAACTTTTCTGTAAGTATAATACTGCATTGGACAGAGAACCGTTAGGTTTCTCGTTAAAGTGCTTGGCAGAGTGGTTGACAAACTTGTATGAAGTGATTGAAGAACCACAGACTCTTTTCTTGCATTTTTATATGTTTCGAGAATCAAGATAAGATTGAAGGGTGTACTTCGGTACATGGGCTGCTCCTCGCAGCCACTCCACTCTTTCTCTGCAGACCCGTTGACCCCTCCTCCGAGACACTTCGGTACCTGGGCTGATTCAATCCGTTCCGTACCGTACCGTACCGTTTCCGTACGTTATCTCCTTTTTAGGATGACGTTATCCTTTTCAGGATGACGTTGTTCTTTTTAGGATGACGGGATTTAGAGGATCTTACCCTACAAGCCTGAGTGGCGTAACGTAACCTAACGTAACCTTACCTAACGCAACGTAACCTAACGTAACAGACCCATTAGTTAGGTTACGCCACGTAAGGCATCCCTCGGGTGGTTAGGTTAGGTTAGGTTAGGTTAGGTAAGGTTAGGTTAGGTTAGGTTAATTTTTTTTTATGTTTCTAATTAGCATATATCTAAAGAACCAACTACTATTTTACAAAAATATTCATTAAAATTTTCCTCTCAAAAAACAAGAATAAGTAATACAAATTATAAAACTCCGGTAATTATATGTATCCGGTTGATGAGTGTTTACTGACGCAAGCGTTAGCGCTAGCGTCGGTGGTGAGTTGCAGCCCAGATTCCGAGGTGCCATAGCTCTTTGAGAGTGGGCCTGCGTTGCATTTACGGAGCAGCCCAAGTACCAAAGTTTCTCCTGAATACAACTGTAAACAAGAGAAAAGTCAACAAACGAATTAAGGAGTTCAGTAGCTACTGCATGAATATTTGCAATGGTACATTGTAAATGACGGCAGTTTTATTACCCTTTTGCTATTACCTCCATTCATATCGATGACGTAAGCCTGCAATAACATATCTCGTTTGCGGTGTGTGAAAATCTTTGCCTCTCTGTTATTTTTTAAAGGAGAACAAATTGACATCATTCCTTGAAGTTTTTGCAGAATTTTCTTTGCACAGAGAAGAAAAATCACAGCAGTTTTAAACAATTGCCGCTGAGTAGTTTTCCGTTTAAAAATAAAGTATGACAGGAAGTCTGCAACGTGGCAAACCGAGTTATGTGATTGCTGACTTACATGGTTGATGTGTGGTTAAATTAGCTACTGTTAAAACATGTCTGTCACTGATTTGCATTTGTCAATTCTCTCATTTATACAGGTCTCAACCACGGTCATTCATGGTCTGGTCAGAGCTAGTTAGGGCAACTGATTGAATCTAAATCTGGAACTGAGGGGCATAGAGGAAAAGGCGCATAAGTGCATTCTTGGATAGAATTGAGTCATTAAAAATTTCAAGTAAAAGTAGTCGTAGTGCATCTTTTGTGAAAAATTTGCTCCCAAAATTTCAATTTTTAATCATCAAAAAGTCAGTTTGAACTTTCTCTCCGCCACAAGGATCTTGTAATTTTGAAACTTCAAACCTGTATTACTCAATACAGCAAAAACTGTATATATGTGCCTTTTCCTCCAAGCCCCTCAACTATTACCTACTTCCTTTTTCTATTTTATTTGTAGATATCAGATCTGATTGTTAGTCTAAATACAGTCTGCAGTCACTTTGTAGTATATCTTGATGTTTTTCCCCCATTTAAATAGAAGCTTTAGGAAATTAATCATATTGCTTTTCTTTCTATTTTCCCAGGGGTGCAGGCCAAGAAGTCGGAAGGTCTTGTATCATGCTGGAATTCAAAGGAAAGAAAATTATGGTAATGATGATTCAATCTATTAATCACCGGTGATTCTCTAAACTGAGAAGTGGCTATTTACTCAGGGAGTACACATGTTAGCTTAGCAATTTTATGTATTGGGTGTTTTTATTAGATTTTTGAGAAGACAGTATGGAAATTATGAACTAAAAGCGAGGATTAACACAAAGAAATTTTATTTTGTTTTGTGAACGTGCTGTATGAGCTGAGTTAGTAGTATTTTTTACAATTTTTCTCTGATGTGGAAAGTTGGAGAAATTTTGATATTAGAGTAATCTATTGAGTTTGTACAGCTTTTTGATGTCATGTAACAGCGTTTCGACGGTGTAAGTTGGCAATCACATAACTCGGTTTGCGAAGTCGCAGACTTCCTGCCATACTTTTATTTTTTTAACGGAAAACTACACACCGGTAATTCTTTAAAACTGCCGTTATTTTTCTTCTCTGTGCGAGGAAAATTCTGCAAAAACTTCAAGGAATGATGTCAATTTGTTCCCCTTTAAAAAAATAACATAGGGGCGGAGATTTTCAGACACCGCAAACGAGTTATGTGATTGCCGACTTACACCGTCGATTTCCTCTTTTTTTTTTTTTTTTTTTTTTTTTTTTTTTTTTTCAGATTAGACCTCTCTTTCATAACTTTTTCAACAATTGGTCAATTTTGAAACTCATGCTATTTTTGTGCTTTGTTCGCTCAGTATTTTATAGATGAACACATTTTTTGAAGACTTCGTGTCTCTGTATTTTTTGTTTTAATAGCTTTTTTTTAGGGAGAGAGGAGACACTATCTACAATGGTTGTAAAATTTATGAACACCGCACAGTTTCTGCACTGATACCTCTCGCTAATGCCAAAACCAATCTTTGGATGAATCAGCATTTTCTAATAGTTCAACATGCACAAGAATATTTTACCTTTAAATTTTGCATGACCATGAGGTCATACATTTTGATTTATCTTTATTGATTGCATTAATTTTTATTTTTATTTTGTCACAGCTTGATTGTGGCATTCATCCTGGTCTATCTGGCATGGATGCTTTGCCTTTCGTGGATCTTATTGAAGCCCATGAAATTGATATTCTACTAGTATCTCAGTAAGTTCTAGCTGCCAAATTGGTCCCTCTAACCACAAATTCCTCTTTGAAGCTCTGTAGAAAAACCCTCATAAACTTTTCTTTCATAAATATTTTAACTTTTTCAGTTTTTTCAATTCTCTGATTCTTTTCCTTTATATGCATCCTGTGGCGATATGTTTTTGTAAATGCAGGATCCAGAACTCCTCTTCCCTGGAGTAATAAATCTCTTTTGGACACCTGCTGATGCAGAAGATGCAAGAGCTCAGGCCACGATGTACTTGAATTCCCATTAGTTCCATAACTCAACAGAATCAATTTACTAGGCATATCATCTTTAGGTTCTGTAATCAAGGTTTTTTCCCCTTACACTTTAGATCAAAGTTACAAGTTGCTACTGTCTTATTATATCAATTTTACCAGTGTAAAATTACGCATATAACATAAGTATAAATATATAAGTATGATTTATTTTCTCCAACAGTTTCCATCTGGATCATTCTGGTGCCCTACCATGGTTCTTACTAAAAACTTCTTTCAAAGGCCGTTGTTACATGACCCATGCAACAAAAGCAATTTACAGGTGGCTTGTGTCAGATTATATCAAAGTGAGGTATGTACCTTTATCTATTTTCCATCAGTAGACTCAGGTCAAGGATGCCATAAGTCAGGGCGCAGCCATTTTATCTCCATATGATCAATGAGTTACGCAAATTGTATTACAGAGATTACTAAGAATTATCGTAAGGCACATTGACGCAAGAGTGGCAGAGAAGAATATCACTCATGAAAGCCTTTGTTTTACTTCTAAAAGAAATAGCTGTAACACATTGACTGCCGTGGTGTTTTTGTTTGTACCTTTGCTGATACACTGGTGCTGGTCTTGTAGAAAAGAGCAAAATAAAATGAACTTTGAATTATTAGATAAATATTGGAGCTTCAAAATGTGTGTGTCTCGTCTGTAACCACATCAGTTACAAGATGTTTATTTCTGAATGATGCTCAAGACCAGCAGCATCAGGTATTTCTTCAAATAAGCTCTGCAACCTACAAGACACAACGAAATACAGGTTAGTCGCTAAGTGTGGTGGTGCGGCTCCTGAAACGACTCCATTAGCATCAGCTGGGCTATCCTGCCGGAAGCTCTTACTTGGATTCATAGGATATTTAAACAGGGGGTTTGGGATTCCAATTACCGAGCTGAATCATCTATCAAATCCTTTTTCCACGATTTTTTGCAGCAGGTTCTTTGCTATTTTCGTAGTGCACACTTGTGCATCTTGAGATGAAAGAGTGGACGTAAGATATTTTTGACAGAAAATTCAATTAAGAAGATTTTCACACGAAGGATTTGATTTTCTAAGATCTCTGTCCATCCCACTTCTCTTTATCTTCTTTGAGTCACCAAGAATCCATACGCTAAGCTTTTTCTTCTAGATTGATGAAGACTAATTTTTTGTCACTTTTCATGTAGCAACATTGCAACGGAGCAGATGCTGTACACAGAGTCAGATTTGGAAAAAAGCCTGGACAAGATTGAAACGATCAACTTCCACGAAGAAAAAGATGTTGGTGGAGTGAAGTTTTGGGCCTACAATGCAGGGCACGTCCTAGGAGCTGCCATGTTCATGGTCGAAATCGCAGGAGTCAAGGTAAATTACTATATTAATTTATTATCTCCTCCTCTTTTTACCTTCCTCCTCTCCTCAATCGGAAGACTTAACACATAATCAGTTTAACTGTATTCACTTGCCTAAATTTCCTCTCATTTTTGTTTTTTTAAGCAAAAACTGAGATAGGTGTACAATACCTTGAAACTCTCAGCAAATTCTCTCAAGCAGTTTTTTTAGTAATTTCTTCAAGGCAGTGCATAGCTTGAAATCCAGTCCCCAATTGGCGAATTGCCGTCTACTTCACAATGGCTGCTAGCTGTTATCAAATCAGATGGACTAACTTTCACTCATCAGAAACCGACTAGCTCAATTTAAATGTTGGGAACCTTTAATTCCAAGTCAAGTACATGCATTGTCATGCTTTTTTATCACTGTATAAGCACATCCTCTCAATGAAGCGAGTTTGTCTCAGGTGCATTATTAGTTGCGCCTCCCTCTGTCCAATCCGATTTCCAAGAATTTTTTTGAATATGTACCTACCTATTTGCAATTCAGGAACATACTTACATATCTATAAGAGTATCAGTCAGTCTTCTCCTAATGTGAAAATCTGCGAAATTTTTACAGATATTGTACACAGGTGACTTTTCAAGACAGGAGGATAGGCATTTAATGGCAGCCGAAATCCCATCCGTGCGACCTGATATCTTAATTACTGTAAGTGTCCAATGTATAATTAATTTATTTTGATTTTACTTTTATTTTTTCATTATCATATATTATGACCTGACAGAAACAAATCACAAGTATTTATAGTTAAATACTTGCATCAGATTTTATGATACAAATTAATTAGGAAATTGGAAAAATGATAAAGTTGCGTTAAAAACCTTACTTATGCACAAATTTCTGTTACAAAACACACATAGAGATTGATGAAAGAAATCCACAATGGCAAAGCTATGTTCAACTTGGAACAATAATAGCTTGACTAAAAAATGTTTTGACTGATTTTGTATTTATAATAAATTTGAATCAAAAGAAGAAAAAATGAATAAATAAATAGAAAAATCCGGTGCATTAAGAAAAAAAGGAAGAAAAATCTTATGTATCCTTGTAGTATTTATCTTGTAGTATTGCAGTATTGAATTCTTGTTTTTCTTAAAAAATTTTAGGAAGCAACTTACGGCACTCACATCCACGAAAAAAGGGAAGACAGAGAAGCCCGCTTCACATCATTAGTCCATGATATTGTCAACAGAGGTGGCAGGTGTCTTATCCCAGTTTTTGCCCTTGGTCGGGCTCAAGAACTCCTCCTTATTTTGGGTAAGATTTTATTTTAAGCTTATCTTTGAAATTGAACGTTTTGTTAGAGAATCCAGTTCTAAACGCAAAGGAGCCGATTTGGATATTCTGTTTTGTAAGCTACAATGAGCCTGTTGCAAACTTTTGCTAGAGCAGAATGAGGAGTTGTTTCCTATAGATAATGCCTCAAAAATCACGATGAGCGCATCGGCAAAGTCTGAAATGCACTTATAAATTCACAATCTGCGTAAGAAATTTGCGTTATTTTGAGCTTCCCGCTTCAAAAACGATACTACTGCACAGGTGAACATTTTGTTAGAGGAGTCGCTCCATCGTCGGCAATATTCATCATGGCCGACGCTTGC